GGAGGGAGGAGAGGAGGGAGTGGAGCAGGGAGCAGGGAGAAGGGAGGAGAGGAGAAGGAGAAGAAAGGGGAGGAGGGGGACGAAGAAGCAGCAGAACGGGAAGGAGGAGGAGGCAGGAGGGGAGGGAGAGATGGAGGAGGAGGGAGGAGAATAAGAGGGAGGAGAATAAGAGGGAGGAAGAAGACGAAGACAGCGATGAAGACAACCAAGAACAACAACAACAAGAACAACCGACGGAGAGGGAGGAGAAGGAGACGGAGGAGGAGGAGATGGATACAGAAGGTGAAGAAGAAAGAACACAAATTTAGAAGGAGGAGAAAGGAGAAGATGGCAACAGAAGGAGAAGAAGATGGAGAAAGAAGATGGAGGAAGAAGATGGAGGAAGAACAAGATGGAGAGGATGGAGGAAGTGCAGGAGGAAGACAAAGTCGGCAACAACGGCGGCGATGACGACGACTACGACTACGACCAAGAACAAGAACAACAGACGGAGAAGGAGAAGATGGAGACCGGAGGAGGAGGAGGAGGAGGAGGAGGAGGAGAAGAAGAAGAAGATGATCACTTCAGGAGGAGGAGGAGAAGAAGAAGAAGAAGATGATCACGACGATGAAGAAGAACACTGCAACACGGCAAAGAGCAAGAAGAACGCGAAGAAGTAGAATACGAAGAAGAAGAAGAAGAAGAAGAAGAAGAAGAAGAAGAAGAAGAAGATAACGACAACGAAGAAGAAGACTGGGACACAAAGAACCGTAGGCCAGGCCACCGAGAGAAGAGACCTCGCTCATTCAAAGCATATGGTTGAAAAAACAAAGTGAGATGGGCACAACTACAACAAAAGCAGCAAACAGCGAAGAAGTCGTATAGCGGTCGAATTTAACGATAGCAACACCAATCTTTTTCCCCTCCAATGGAGGTTGCAATGAAGAAATGCAAAGTCGAAAAAGGATAATGTGGAAAATGATGTTAGGAGTCTTAGGACATCATCGAGAACCAACGCGCACAATTTTGAGCGACAGAAAAAAAAAAGAATTGCATGAATCGTATAATTCTTTTGTTAAAAAGAAGCTCTGAAAACTGACTTACAAGTTAAAATTTAAAGATGATGATAACCCAATAATACATTGACAATCAATCGGCGGACGGATGAATCTATCGATCCTGACGAGACGTCTGACGCAGTAACCTGCGAACTGGACGAGTGTCGAGCGGTTTCCTCTTTTTCCCTACCTGTTTTTCACCCTTTTTTTTTCCTTTTTACAAACCCAGGAAAAGGCTCTGTTCAATTCTCTTTTTCAATGCCTTTCCAGAAAAAGTTTTCCATGGATTCTATTTTTCTGTCGCAGTTCAATTTCAAATTTTCAACACGCGTTTCTCCTTCCGTCCACATATTGAACATTTTTGCCGATTTCGACATACGATCGGGACATTGCACCCACCCACCCACCCACCAGCCCCCACCCTCCCCTCCTTCATCTTTCCGATCTATTCGGCAATCTTTGCATTGACATCAACATTTTCTTTCCTCTCCTCCTCCTCCTTTTCCTCCTCCTCCTCCTCCTCACTTCCTCGCTGCCTCCTCCTCCTCCTCCTCACTTCCTCGCTGCCTCCTCCTCCTCCTCCTCCTCCTCCTCCTCCTCATCTTGTTCATGCCAACATTTCAATTTATGTTGTCGACATGACAAATCCCCTCCCTCCCTACGGCATGACACCAAACAAACGCTATAAAACCTACCCAAAAGCAAAAACACAGCTTCTTACAGCTTCTACTTTGTAAAAGGCAAATTTGAAATTCCTCACGAGTACGACAACAATACCACTTTTGCTTCGTTCCTCCTCTTGCTGGTGGTCGTCCGCTGCGCTCCCCTGCTTCGCTCCTTGGTAATCGTTACGCCTTCTTCTTCACCGATCGACGATCAGATAGAGCCAATGATTTCTCCATTCCTCTCTTCTCCAGCACACAACCATAACTGCCCTTTGCTCTTCTCCAACACACAACCATAACCAACTCCAACACACAACCATGACCGCCCTTTGCTCCTTGCTCCAGCTCGACCAACTCCACGGTTTGTCACTCTCTCCACTCTAACGGTTTGCTCCGACCCGCCCCCCTCACGACCATCTAGTAGTTAGCCCCTCTGTCCTTTCTTCCTCTCCAAAGGGATGGACAGTCATTCCTCGTTAATCTCTTCTCCACACATCCGTAGCCACTGTTCCCTCCTTGCTCCCGCTCAACCACCACCACGGTTTGTCGCTCTCTCCTCTCCGATGCTTTCCCACTCTCCACATTCCAATAGCTTACCCCTCTCTCCTTTCTTCCTTGCTCCGACTCAACCACCACCATCGTTTGTTGCTCTCTCCGGTCTAATGCTTTGACAATCTCCCCCATCCAGTAGTTTGAACCTCTCTCCTTTCTTCCTCTCCAGAGGGATGGACAGTCATTCTTCATTTTCTTCATTTCTCTCTTCTGCACACATCCGTAGCCACCGTTTGCTCTTCGCTCCGACTCAACTACCACCATCGTGGTTTGACCGCTCTTTTCGCCTTTTTATGCTTTTTTGTCACTCTCTCGCATCCAACAGTTTGGGCTTCTCTACTTCCCTCTCTCAAATGGGATCAGCAGCTATTAGTTCATTCCTCTCTCTTCTCCACAAATCCATAGCCACTGTATTGTTTGTCCCTCTTGTACTTGTCCAACCACCATTGTTTGTCCCTCTCTCTCCCATCCGATGGTTCGCCCCCTCTCTGCTTTCTTCCTGACGCATGGCAATCACAATGATTTCACCATTCCTCCCTCCACACATCCATAGCCACTCTGTTTGCTCCTGCGTCAAATCCAACCCGTCTCACTTTGCCCCTCTTCCATCCAATGGTTGCCATCGCCACTCCCCACTTTCGTCCTGTCGAATGTGATGGACAATGCTCTGCTCTGCCCTATTCCTTTTGTCTTCCTCCAGACATGTAGAGCAACCATGCGGCCGTTGCTGCAGTCCAACCTGCAATGGTTTGCTGCTCTCTCCCATCGATCCGTTTACCCCCCCTCTTCCATCCAACGGTGAGCCCTTCTCCGCTCTCTTCCTGTCCGCTGCAATGGACAATTCCCTGACGATCATTATCTTCTCCATATGCACAGCCATAGCCACCATTCGCCTGTTGCTGATGCCTGGCCAGCCATAATTTGTCCCTCTCCCCTTTCCGATTGTAGGCCCCTCTGTGATTCCTTCCTCCCCCAATACAATGGGCAATGCATTGTTCATTGCTATCCTATCCCTCCACGCATTGAAAGCCACTCTTGACTCGTTGCTTTGATACAAACCGATCTCTCTCTCTCTCTCTCTCTCTCTCTCTCTCTCTCTCTCTCTCTCTCTCTCTCT